GTAAAATAGAGTTACAACAAAGGATTAATATAACTGCACCAGAATTATTCTAGTTCTTGTTCTTTCTTTTGAGTTTCCAAGTAGAAGAAAAACCTTCATTTTTAGTTTTTCATTTTAGGGCCCCAGTACTAGAATGCTATGAAAATTAGTCCATCTTACAATTGTCTTTATACCTTTCCTCTCATCTTACTCACTTTTGGTCCCCCTACTTTAATCTTTGATTTGGAAGCTCCTAAATGCCTCAGCTGGAAACCTTTCTAAATGGTGATAAGGCCACTGGAAAGAGAGATTAGCTGCTAAAAAATGAATTTAATATTAAAACTAAGAATTGGAGTATTCTTAATGTATGAGAAAATATCTTTATATCAAAAGATATGTGATAATCAAATCATGGAAAATTTAGATTGATACTGCATTTTTATTTTGTATCTACTCCATCTACTTAAATATGATACTAATACCTAGAGGGCATAAAAGCAATATCTAGTAATAGGAGGATATGGCAAGATAATGGAAGAACTGAGACTTCACTGGACCTTAAAACAATAATCGTTGGTGGCTCACTCACATTGTTTTACCTGGGTGCAGTGTCTCATGCCTATAATTCAGCACTTTGGGAGGCCAAGGTGAGAGGAGTACCTGAGGCTACCAGTTTGAGACCAGTGTGAACAACATAGTGAGACCCCATCTCTACAAAAAATAGAAAAAATTACACTGGTGTGGTAGCATGCACCTGTAATCCCAGCTACTTAGGAGGCTGAGGCAGGAGGATTGCTAGAGCCCAGGAGTTTGAGATTGCGCTGAGCTATGATAATGCCACTGTACTCTAGGCAGGGTAACAGAATGAGACCCTGCCTCAAAAAAAAAAAAAAAAAATCAGAAGTAAAATGGAGGGTCTTATAGGCTAGGCATGGCCACAAATATATAGATGCTAATGCATTTGAGCTATTTGAACTAAAGAAGAACTAATTTATGGACCAGACTACAAGATGATTGATTATGATTAGATTGGTAAGGGTCTTTAGTAATAATAATAAGTAATGATTTAATTAACTTTTGCCATGTAACAAATCACCGCAAAACTTGGTGGTGTAAAACATTTATTATCTCATAATTTCTGTGGAAGTGGCCCAGCTATAGATGGTTCTTACTTAGATCTCTCATAAGATTGCAGTTAAGAAATCCTTTGAGGCTGCAGTCATCAGAGAGTCTGGGCTTGGAGGATTGGCTTCCAAGATGGCTTACCCACATGGCTGATGGCAAAAGGCCCCAGTTACTCATCACATGGAACTTTCCATAGAGGACCTTGTATGTTATTAAGACATGGCCAGAGGCTTCCCCCTCGAGAGAGTAATCAGAGAGAGAACAAAACAGTAACAATGTCCTCTTGACCTGGCCTTGGGAATCAAAATTTTTCACTTCCACCACGTTATAGTCAGAGGGAAGTTACTTAGTACACCCACACTCAAGGGGAATTAATTTCCACAAAGGGGAATATTAACAAAGAATTTGTGGACATACTTCAAAAGCACCACAAAAGAGTTTTAATTTTACTGTCTAGTCTGTGATTTTTCACATGTAGAGAATGATTAATCTACATTCAGGTCTATGTCAGCAGGCAAAGTGGATTTGAGCTCTAGAACCCAAGAAAGAGACACATCGTATAGGGACTTTTTGTTGCTGCAGAATAGGCTGACCACACATGATCAAATTGTAAGTCTAGGAAAGGATATTTAAGGTTTTAAAGTTAAAGTGGGAAGGATTGCACTGGCATCTGAAGTAGATAAGGACTGGTATTCACAGAAAACATGCTGTATGAAAATATTAACAGTTTTTATAAAGAAACTGTGATCCAAAAAAATAAAGCATTTAGTAATCTACTAGGTGAAACAAAAATGGCATTAGAAATTAGGCATATGTACCATGTAATAAGGGGTCATGAAAGAATAATTTAAAAAACAAAAAAATTAGACATTAGGCATATTTGTAGAGATGC